TATTCTTGAGACATCTTTCTTAATTTTGTATGAATTTATTTTTACTATACGGATTTTATATTATTGCATTACTCTACTGCTTATGCCATCGAATTATTACTGTTACTGATATTGATACTTATACTGCTTTATACTATTGCTTCACTGTATTGATCTTATGCATGTGATACACTGAGCAAGCGATAAAGAATAACTGGATTGCATGCATATATTCCGATATGATTTTACTACATTGATTTGATTTCAACAACCATTAATGATTTTTTGATTTGGCGCTTTATACGATTTTATACCAACTGATATTATGGATATGATGATTTCTTTAGAGATCTGACTCTCGTACTGGTTTACTACTTTATGGGCTTTCATATTATTTACAGTTTCTACTACTACTGCTTGTGGGTTTTAGTATTTTTGCATTGATTCAGTGATCATATATATGATATTAGATAGCTCTGGTTGTTGATTATTTAAAGGATAAATGAATAATTCTTTTAATTTAGATTCTGGGGCATCACACCTCCTATATGGCCCTTACCATGGTTTTGAGAGACATCATGGCTTTGGAGAGCCCTGCATCTCCCATGACCACCACCCTTTTCTCTTCCACCAGCTCTTCCACCAGCAGTTCCATTATGAACTTCCTAATTGACCTTGGTATCCCTTAAGGTATACAACCATTTCATTCTCAGGATAATGCAAGTGCTGTCTAACTTCAATTGGAGAATGTTCTCCCTCACCTGGACTCCTTGTATGGCCAAAACCACTCCCTTACACACTCCTCTACATGTCTTCGTCTTCCTATTTCCCATCATAACCGCATAGCACCATGCACACCAATTTTACCTTGAATTAGTCGATGACTTGGTTGGAGATGAAGTTTCTGGTGGTTCCACTGTCTATCAACACCATTTCCTCCTTATTGTTATTTCTCCTTTCACTTTTATGGTGAGATTTAGAGTGAATCTCACCATTGAGTTCAAAGAGACATTTGTCAGGTGTAAATGTTGCTTTTCCTCCACCATTGATGTCTCACTCCAACCTCCCTCTTTAGCTTCCTCTTCATCATAGACAATGTCCTTACAGTTGTGCCCCAATGTATACCTCTCATCACTTCGAAAATATAATCCTTTTGCCCACCTATCCTGCACCTTTGCTTTTGTGAGGCTCTTAAAGTTGCCTCCAGGACAAACTTTAGTGCCCTTCTCCTATGGTGTTTCCCTCTAAAACGACACCATCTGGGTTCTCAGTGCTAGGGTCATAGAGGTACTCCTGTAGCACCTCCATGCTTTTGTTCTTGTTGGCCTTCTCCTCTTAAATTTTTTCTCTGCCCTTTTGGTAATCTCCATCATCTCTATTAGCCCTCTTGATTTTAGCACCCTGAGCTTTGCTCGTATGTCCTTCCTAATCCCTTTCATGAAATTTCCTTTCAACCATTCCACAGAAATTCCTCAGTCTTCTTCATGAAATTTTTTTATCTTTTATTACATAATAATCAAAACTATATAATATCATTTATCAGTAATAAATAACAAAATAAATTGTATGATTTAAAACAATAATACATATTTATATTTATTGACCATAAAATAAATCATAGATAATGCTCGAGAATCATATAATCATAATATATTCTTTCTTTCATGAGTATAAAATAATAACTAAAAAAATAAAACCTGAGGAATTTTGATCACTCTCACACTCTTAAACCTCTTTCTTGTCCTGAAATTATTTAATCACATATCATGATCTAAAAGCACGACAAACAAGCAATATCCATATCAGCATTCAAATCATAATAGAGATTATGAATCTGTGCAGAAATAGTAAAGCTCATATGTAGCAGCAGTAGAATCTTTAAACAATAAAATAAGATGGTATGAAAGCAAGTAAAACAATACCATGGAGAAATCAATAAACTAATATTGGTGTCAAATCAATAAAGCAGTCATTGTATGGGTACTATTAATCAGTTAAGATATTGTATAAAAAGGTAAAATCAAAGTATCTATAAACATCGTGGAATTATATCAATGTAATAAAATCCTATAATGATGTACACATATTATGTAGTTATTTTATATTTGTATCAAATCGGTGTATGAATCACATGCTCAATTTATCACATGTTCAATATTAATACAATCAAAGTATCTGAATAAAATCAAAGTTTCTTTTTTCTATTTTATTTGGATCCTTGGCAACCTCCTCATCCTCCTTCCCACTCGACGGCCCACCCACTTCCCTTTGATTCCCTGCTTGTCGCCTTCCCCCACTTCCCATGCCGCCGGCCACTTCATCAAACCGGCGGCCCGCCTCCACCCAGCCACTCCCCCACCGTCCCCAAGCCAACCCGCCGGCCACCTTGCTCCCAAACTCTAAAATTCAAATTCAATGCCTTAGATTCCTTTCCTAAATTAAATCCTAAGCATTTAGGAAAGTTTCCTTATTGATAATTCAATTAATTAATTGAATTTAAACTCTTTCCTTTTGCTAGAAATCCATTTAGGAAACTTTCTTATTAAATCAAATTTGAAATTAAATTCAAATTTTATTTTAATCTTTGTTTATTCCTTTGAGGGCCCACATAATTAAAACAAATCCCCCTCCTCCCTCCTACATGGCCGCCCCCCTTTACTAGACCCCTTCTCTCTCCAATTTAAGCTCAATCACATTTAATTCTCCCCTTAATGCCCACATAAACTGCCGGCCCTCTATTGCCTTTTGGGATAAAATTTGAAATTGAAATTAATCCTTCCCCCAACTTTGGAAAATCTATATTTAATTCAAATTTACTAAAACCCTTTCCCCTCCTCCACACCCGCTCACCGCCGGTCAAGCCCTATGAACCATGATCAAGTATGACGGATCCGAAAACTGATCACGGATTTGTGTTCAATTCTCAAGGTGAGATGGACGTCATCCAATCACCTTTCTTTGACCTTGGATTTGGATTCGATCACACTGTTGGGGAATACATCGATCGTGTTCTCTTCCATCTAGCGGACGTCATCGACGAACAAAGATCTACTGGATAGTAGAAGATCATCGGACACCCCCCAGTTCCTCCAACTCCGAGTCCTTCCCCGGTGACTAGCATCCTCGGCATGGCATGTCTTCTAGTGGCATTCCTAAGTTTTCTTGCAACATTCTTCCGCTAAAGAACTATTGTCATGAGTGCGAGCGAGGGATTTCTATTACCTAATCTTCTCACGGATTGTTCTGAAATCTAACTTGAAGAATCATTATCTTATATTTGACAAAGTGAAGTTTATATTTTTAATTAAATTCCTTAACACAATTCTTGTTCACCATCACTGTTTCACATCACCGTCGGCCTATCATCTTGTATAAATCATTCAATCTTCAACCAACGAGTCAACTAATCTTTACTTGTCTTTTATACATATTACTAAAAAAGTAATAATAATCAACTATTACTCAATCATGTATACATTTTCATTTACAATTGTTGCATTAACAATATACATAGATAAAACTCAATTTTTATATAGTATAAACCCTATAAAATTAAATAATTTATATTTTACCCAATAAAATTCATAAATGTTATAGTTAAAATATTCATGATAATTAGTACGATAATATAAAAAAGTTATGCGATAAAAGTTTAATAAAGTTGAAAAAATTTAGTAAAATCATTTTTGAGGAAAAGTTGGTGGTCAAAATTTAAGTATTTTAAAATAAAGAGAGTGTTAAAACCACCTACTTCGGTCAAAACAGATTTTTTTAAAGTGGTAGAGTGATTCAGAGACTAAAAATCTAAATTTTCTTTCTCTCTCCTCCTACATTGAAAAAAATAATTATAATTGTTTACAAGTACTAAAAAAATAACGCGCTTAGGAATAGTTCTAACTCCAAAGCTCTCCAGTTCAAACAAAAAATCAATTTTTTTTTTTCATTTTCAATTATTTTAAAAAATTTGAATTGTTACACAACTATTGTTTCATCTAGTCCATCTTTACTTCTGCTTGGCTAGTCTCCAAAAGGGTTCAAACTCCCCTCTTATTGCTGCCCTTTCTTCGGGATACCTTGATGCTTCTCCCATTTGAATCCTCCGAGGTGGTAATTAAGGGAAAACACTTTCCACTTTGTCATCATTGATGTGAAACGAACATGCGATGGAGTTACTTTAAGAAATTAAAGAGAGCAATTTTGACAAAATAATCCAAAGTAAATTTATCGCTTTGATTGTATCTCGATCAACCTTTTAATCATGTCTTCCATGTTTTCAAAGCAGTTCTCCATGGATGAAAATCTTCCTTTAATGGTGGTGAACCTCCCTTTCATTCCAGAAAACCTTTCCTTCATATCAGCCTTGCGTTGTTGCATCTTGTCTTCCAACGTCTCCATCTTTTTTGCTGTCATAGGTTCCAAAAAAAAAAAAAAAGCTTTGATAACAATTTGATAGGAAGTAGAAGAACTTTCAACCAAATCAGCAAACCGCAATAGAAATTAGGAAGAAGAACACACCACCAATCTTTTTATTGTAGGAAATATGAAAGAAAAATAACATGATACAATGGATCTTCAATTGGAGGGGAAGATCCTGTTCTCCCAAATCCCTAGCCGCCAACTATAGCTCTCACAACTTAAGAACAAACTATATTCAGGCTTCAGCCAAAATATAACATAACCATAACCCAAGGGTATACAATTTATTAAAGGAATACAAGCCAAAGCAAAATACCCAAACAATCCTTCAGTTCAAATTTCCCTCCCAAACGCCCCCTCCTCTTTCTTTCTTATGTCGTGGACCCTATCCTAATGGTGGCACAGGGCTTGGGACAGACCAAGCTTCCACTTGGTGTAAAATCTGGCTGGTCCCTCGTGAACTGGTTGGAACGGTCCCTCTTGGATTGGTTTAACATATTTGTTATGCCATTTTTTGAATATATTTCTAACTATTTTATATTTTTCTTCCGGCTGCCAAATAAAATTTAGACTGCTTAATTTGTTATGATTTCCTTATTGAACAGGCTGACATGGTTTCACTTGATGATGCTGCAAAGCTGCTGCTTGGGGATGGCCAGAACCCAGCTTATTTGAGAAGTAATAAACCTTCTTTACTCTTTCATACTTGGTTGCTATTTTGTTACCTTTTTGAAATATTCTTTTTTTCACGAGGAATAAAACGATCTAATTTCTATTTTTAAGATGCAAATGCAGCAAAAGTTAGGCGTCTCTATGACATTGCAAATGTTCTATCTTCCTTAAATCTCATTGAAAAGGTATATTTTTACTATTGCGTTTGAAGGAATGAAAGATCATATAACATATTAGCCATTTTTATCTTTTTGCAGACACATCAATCTGACACCAGGAAACCAGCATTTCGGTGGTTGGGAACTAAAGGGAAGTGTGAGAATGGTGTTACAATTGCTTTACCTCCTGTTGCACAGAAATCTGGCAAAAGAATGTTTGGGACAGAGCTAACAAATGTGGAAGTTAAGAGAGCAAAATTATTATCTTCAGTTGATAACAAGTCCAACAAAACTCAAGTGCTAAGCCATGACCTTAAGGAATGCAACAAAGCAGTACAGAGGCAATTGCAGGGCTCCAAGTCCTTCGTGTTTGGTCCATTTAATCCTCCGAAGACACCAAAGGAAGAAGTTATCGAGCAAAAATTTGAAAATGATCCAGATTTTGAGAGTTTTGCCTCTTCTATGCGCCCCGCCTATCATAGCCAAGGTTTGTTCACCCATAACTGAATTTTTTAACTCTCATTACACAAAAACATTTAAGCCTTGCTTCATATTCCATTTAAACATCTTTTATTCCTTAATTGTTGGTAAATTTCATTAACCCTTGTTCTTTTGTCTAAGCTCTCTAGCTAAAACTTCATATTCCATTGATCAATAAAGTCAGCAAAAATTGATGCTTAACTTATTGAGCTACATTTTAAAACTAATTCTCTTCATAGCAAATTAATCTAAGGAATTCTAATGAGTTAAATGTAATTAGTCTCTGGCTATTGCAATTTTGTGCTAATTTTGGCCATTTTTGTCTTATATTGATGATCTGTTTTTTTTTTTTGCTTTTCAAGCATAAAAACCCATAAATCTTTGATTATTCTTTTGGACCTTAATCGGGCTACTTGTTATGATAAACTTGACGACTATTTAGAAATTAAGAAAATACCATTTTTTAAATATTCTAGTCCATCTGTCATGTTATTTTTTGTTTCTTCTCAAATTTATGTTTTCCTTTTATGATATATACAAGCAATAACCTCTCAACTGTCTTCAACAGCTTTGCATGATCTCTTCTCACACTATATGGAGGCATATAATTCATGGTTTGCAGAAATTGCTGGAGGAAGTGGCAATTTGCAACAGCCCTTGAAGAAGTCTGTTCACATCGGGCATTCTTAGAGATATTTCCGTGTCATCTACATCTTTCAATGCCCATGTAAGTTCTCTTCCTGTAGAGGAATTGGTCAGCTATGTTGTGGAACATTGTGTTGTGAAGTTTTAGCTATGGGCTATGGATTCTGTATTTTCTCAATACAGCATAGTCCTTCCTGTATGGTTGTGCTTCTTCAACCACCTGTGATTGCCTGTAGGCAGTGGAATAACAGTTTCTTCATCCACTGTACTATCGTTTTATGGGAATAACAGTTTTTTTCCCCTAAATGCTTTGGTTTTTTGGTTTATCATCTGATGCAACCTTTTTGATCTCTCCATTGTTTTCTTAATTCTACTGCTAAGTGCTTCTTTAGGATGCTACTAGCTCGATTTGTTTTTATTTCATAATAGATAAGGTGGCATGGGCCCATCTCGTGATTGCCCAACGATATTAATCATAGTTCATGGCGAGAGATTATTATGCGGAGTCCAAATGCATCCAGAGGCCAATCCGGATGCAGCACGTCATGCAATGTACTATGCATTAGGTGACATAGCGCGTCTGGCTTTGTTTTCGGACGCGTTTGAATATGGCACATAATAATTTTTAAATTCTAAGCACACTATTCAGATAGTTACTATCAATCACCCATTAACAGTTTTTTCCCCTAAACATGCTTTGATTTATTGGTTTGTCTTTTGATGCAAGTTTTTTGATCTCTCCATTGTTTTCTTAATAATACTGCTAAGGGCTTCTTTAGGATGCTACTAGCTCGATTTGTTTTTATTTCATAATAGATAAGGTGGCATGGGCCCATCTCGTGATTGCCCAACGATACTAATCATAGTTTTAGGTGAGAAATTATTTTGTGCGGAGTCCGAACGTATTCAGAGGTCAATTCGGATGTGCCACGTCATTCAATGTACTGTGCATTAGGTGACATATCGCGTCCAGATTGGTCTCCGTATGCGTCTGGACATCGCATGTAATAATTTTTAGAGTTTAGACATGCTATTGAGATAGTCACTATGAATCACTCATTGAAGATTGTATTAACCAAAACAAACCATTGAGAAAAGCTGCTTAAATGAGCTTTAAAACTAAGTGAGTTCTAGATTTCCTCCTATCAAAACTTGAGTTAGTTGACTTTTTGATTAACTTCACCCTTTGCGAGTTATAGAGTAAAATGGTGATCCGAAAGGATTCACACAAGCTTTTTGAATCATTAAGGGTTCGTTTGGGATGACTTTCTTAATGCTTCTTGATGCGGTTTTTTAGTAAAAAAAATTAAAATTTATATACTAAAAAGTCTCATCAAGAAGTAATAAGAAAGCCGTTCCAAACGAATCCTAAAAGTGCTCGTAAAAACTCGACCCTTACTCTTATTGAAAGCATTAAAAATACTCAGGGAGCGGAATGTTTATTCTTATTAGAATGAATAATAGCACTCACAACTTAGGCAGCTTGATGTTAACTTAAGAAATTGGACATTTTTACACAGTGAAGCATGAGGAATTTTTTTTTTTTGGGACATTTAGGTCATTTAAGGCAAACTCACACACACTACGCATTCACATAGACTCGAACCCTGAACCTCTTAGTTGGAAGTCTAAGCTCTCAACCAATAGGCCAAGAAGAGTTGAAGCATGAGGAACTCGATATACTAGTTGATTCTCGGAGATTTTTGACATTTAAAATTTCCCTTCATTTTCTAGTTCGATATGTCTATTACTAGTTTTTTTTTTCTTTTATTCAAATATGTAGCATTTTTCTCGCACTTCAACCATTCTCTATAAACTTAGGAACTTCATAAATACTTTCTGGCTAAAGAACTTGGCTTAATCATTGTTCTTAGATAAACGTTGAGGAAGTGCATATTAAATGACAATTAGAAAGGGGGAGGGTTCTTATTTATTACTTCCTTCTAAAGCACGCAATTCATTTTGATTTGTGACTGTTGATTGAGGGCTTTGACTATCAATTAAGAGATTTTGAGTTTCAGATATGTATGTGATGCGTTAGTCCCCCCACCACCCAAAAAACCCCTCCCCCCCCAAAAAAAAAAAAACAAAAAAACAAAAAAAAAAAAACATTTAATATGATAAATTAATAATTGATTCAAGTCAAATTGTAGACATAGGAAAAAGAATATTTTATATCATAAAGATGCATAAGAGTAAGAGAACTCAATATACACCTGATATATCATAAAAAAAATTATCCTGAAAAAGCACGAATCTTGAGACAAAAATGAGTTGAAAACTTCTGAAATTAAATTTTGGACCATTCGAACTTTGATTTCATCAAACTTTAGTTGAAATGAATATCTTGAAAGAAAAACCAACGATACCAAAACTAGCTAGATTTGAGCACAAATGATCTTAAATCAAGGATCCAAAGCATATTTGAACTGTTCAAAGCTTAATTTGGAATTCCAAACAAACTATAAATGTGGCATGCTTATAGTCAAATCGAGCGGCTCGACGAGAAGAATCCAATTAGCCCAAGATCACTGCATTCTGATATCATTAAGGCATTCAAATGACTAATAAACTGTCCACAATCAATGGGATCAATATTGATCGTCCATTCAAGCCACTCCTATTTTGACTTTTATAAGCCATTCAACTCTAAAAAAACTATAAAAAGCCCCCCACTCTTCTCATGAGAGGGAGAAGAAAATAAGGAAGAGTAGGGAAGAAGTTGGAAGTTGACTTGCCAATGACCACCGCTGGTCTCCGCCTGTTCGTCAACCATCGCTGGACTTATGCCTGCTAGTCAACCATCGCTGGAGTTTTTCCCGACTATTGCTTAAATACTATCTTTTTTATCTTCGTCATCCTCCGACTACGGTCCTTCCAACCATGATCGCCAACTATGGTCCTTCTGTTCTCTGTCGACTGCTTACTATAATCCCTTCGTTCACTATCGTCCGCCGACTATGATCTTTCCAACCATCGTTGTTCGACTACGATCCTTTCGACCACCGTCGCCCGCCGACCATCGTCTTTCCGACCACCGTTTCCGACCACCGTTATTCGACTACGGTCCTTCTGACCTACATCGCTCGCCAACTATGACCCTGCCGCCCAAACGAACACGTCAATATTGATTCTTCCAATTTCCGTTATGTAATGCACTTTATATGATATATATTTGATACATCAAGCTAATGCCTTCCCCCAAGGAAGGGCCTCATTTGTAATCGACTGCAAACACTAGTGAATCCATTCAAAATGGGCCAGACCCTATGATTTTTCCTTCATCAGCGGTTTCCACATAAAAATTATAGTGTATCTTATAAACGCTATAACCATACTCTATTATCTATTTGTGCGCTGGATCTTCGTACAAAGTTAAAACTAGTAACTCTATCACTCTATATCGCTGCGAATTTTCTAGAACGCAACAACACCCATATAGGATCTATGGGTTTAGTGGGAGACAAGCTAGCTGGGTTCACTATAGCTCAATAGGAAAAACTTATCAAAGATGAAGAACTCAGAACTCACTAAGTTCGCCAAAGGCAATGTACTCGCAAACGCTTAGAGACATGAAATTGCAAAAGGTCATCTCCTTACTACCTTTACTAGAATCAGGGAAACTTTGCTAAAGTTACTCTGTTCTAAGACAAATAGAAAATCTAAATACTATTCTCTCTCCCTCTCTCTCTCATCAATCTTATAAAATTTGTGTGGTCTTGATATCGATTATGGACAAAATTGAATTTATTACTTAGTACTCTCAAAACTAGTCTTTATTTGAGACAGTTTTTTCATTGATTTCTAAAAAGCAATTTTTTCATATAAAAAATTTAAGTTCAAAAAAATTTTGTACTAAAATATTATTTTAAAACGCAATGAAAAAGCTATACCAAAGAAAGCCTTATAAGCCTAAAGACAGCCTTAAAGAGTTCCAAGAAATAAAGAGATGAGAAAAATTCAAAACATTTTTTGGCATATGATTTACAACATCCCAAGAATGCATCTCAAATTTTGTAAGATTTTTTTGGCATATAATTTATGCTATTTTTTCCTTTTACTTTCAATTTTTTTAACTTAAATTTTTTCAAAAACATTTTCTTCGAAAAAAGATAATTATAATGTTTTTTTTTTTTTACATTTAGTCCAATTAAGACAAATTAATACATACATCACATACTCATGACTCGAACCAAAACCTCTATGTTGCTAGTCAAAACTCATACCCAAAAGTCCAAGGTGTCATATTCTAATGTTATCAATAACCTCTATTTTTGGAAAAAGTTTTATGTGCGGCTGTCGAACGTCGTCCGGAGAGCAACCATAATGCACCACGTCACATTTTTGCTCGGTATTACGGCTAGGTACTGCTCGGTATCATAGCTAGGTACCAGCGACGTGACATATTCTGATTGATCTCCGGAGGACGTTCTGCATCCGGTCTCCGCTCAAAATTATTTTTGCTTGGTTTCTTGAAGTTTTAACCGTTGGGATTAATGAGTTGAATACAAGCAACAAACAATGAAAACAAAAAGAAAAAAAAAAAACCCTTTTGAACTAACTATTCATTATTCCAACAATGAATCAACTTGAAAACTGTGCTGCATTTTAGTGCTCCGAGATTTCTCTAGACTTGAGCCGAAGGTCTTCTTAAATTTCTGCCTATAAATAAGAACTGTTTTCCCATTTGGCTGTTCTTACGAGGAACTTCTCTATTTATTATTAAGAGCTGTAGTTTCCAGCAATATTTAACAAACATTGGGATTAATAGGTTGAATAGAAGCAACAAATAAAAAATTTTTTTTGAATGATCTAATAAGCAAATTCCAACAATGAATCGACATGAAGATTGTGCTGCAGTTTAGTGCTCCGAGATTTATTTGGAGTTGAGCTGAAGTTCTCAGGTCTTTGTTTTGACTGTTTTTGATCAGTTCTTAAAGAAATGAACTATATTTGCATTTGCCTGTTTTTCCAAAAAGCTTTTCTAATTACTATTATGAGCACTCTTTTCTAGTGAAAAAAAAAGTACGCTTGAACTGATCGATTTCAACAAGAATGTGTCACATCATTCTTGTCCTGGTACCGCGGGCTGGTAATGCTCGATACTGCTAGGTTTCACGGCTCGGTATCGCTGGTATGGTGCGTTTTGATTGGTCTCCGGACGAAGTTCTGCGTCAGGTCTCCGCACAGAATAATTTCTCGAACCGATGAGAGGTCAATTTTTTTTTCTAAAATTTTGATTTATTTACCAAAATTTATGTATGATCTTATGAAAATGATTATTATTATTATTATTTTTGAAGTGT